CGAGACTTGCCCTTCCCCAACGTGGGGGAAGTTTCCGATCACGAGCGCCACCCCTGTGGTTTTGCTGCGACTATGGTTTCAGATGCAAGACATGCACACGCGCGAGACAGGATACTCACGGGTGCACTGCTGCCAGATGATGATGATGAGGGACATGCGTGGGAGTTGTGAACCACCGCATCGGTTGCGCAAGGTTGCGTACGCCGTCAACACGCACACACCGTTTATCTTTCGGCATGTCTTCGTGTTCCCTTGCAACCCTCACATTGGCAGCTGCCACGTTGGTTGGCTCCTTCCCATTGTTTGGTCCACTGCCGCCCGCAGTTGCTGGGGCACATGGGGATGTTTCGTGTGATGACTTTGTACGGGGTTGAGCCTGACTTGGTCAGCCTGACACACGCTCCCTGCTTGTATACCGGCGCGGCTTCACAGCATGCCGGTCGCTCTGCGGCCAACGTCCCTTTGTTCGCGTCCCCCAGCAGGCGGGCGTGGTAGCATCTGTCTCCCATCAGGAACTGGTTGGCCCGGCCTCCCCTGGTGGCCCGGAATTTTGTTGCATGACCTGCACCTCACCCTTGGGCGCCATGCGCTCCTAAGTGGTGCGCGTGTCGCGCCGACGGGCTGTCTGCACATTTTCTCATGGTGCACGAACGTTGTATAATCTCGGGGCTCCCGCTTTATCGTCTGCGTTGGCCACGCTGCGCGCGACGAAGGTCAAGGTGGCACGTTGTGCGGCCAAGCAGCGGCTGGATCATTGCAGTTGACCGCTGCTCAATTTGTTGACGCACTGTTACCGTGCTTGTGTACGGAGCACACGCACATCTTGGTCATGCCTCATGCCTGCGGTCGCTCTGTCGAGCAACACCCTGCAGCGTTCATTGTTGATTGGCGGATATTGTCAGGGTTCCTTGTGTGTCAGGGTTCTTTTCGGTGACGCCCTTGATTGATTGCTTGGTACACTACCCACCCCCCTGCCTTGTGTCCCACACGTGCCACACATGTTGGCTGAGTCAGCCTCCGCGTTATTCTGTTCTCGTGGGCACCTGTACGACACGTTACCTGCACCACCTGCAAGGGTCCACCTCAACCCCGCCTCTGCACCCGGGGCTGAGCGCTGTCCTTCCGGTGATGGGAAGAAGCGAGGCGGCCACGCCGGGCTGGTCTTGACATATTGTTTCACCGCAGTGATCTCTGGTCCAGTGCACGCACTGGACCAACAAAACTGCACAACCTGCGTTGCCGTCTGCCGTGGCTGTTGCCAGCAATCCTGATATATGCACCGTCCACTTTGGTTTTTCACCGTCGTACTTTGTGCAAGGGGTTTTGGGCCTGCTTTTGTAATGGTCGAACTTGTGATGATTTTCGTGTGTGCCTTTGGGGGGGGCGGCGGCACCCACAGCCCTGCAGTGCAGGGGCTCAAGGGTAAAGATCCAGCCAGCACTTTAAGTGCGCATAGCCAGAAGTAGGGCCCAGCAGGATGAAGATTAGCAAGGCGGATGCTTGTGGATGGCAATGCGTGATCATGCATTGCGCTTGTCTGTGCCCTCACGCTCTACTAGGGTATGTAATACATTGCAGGATCCAGAAGCGGCACATATACCAGCACATCAGCAAGCAGCTCCAGGTTGGTGATGTCTTTGCATATGCCTGCGAGTGGGGAGGAGGGCAGCGGGAGGTTGCTTTGGGCAAGGGGCATCTGCTTTTTGACAGGCATACACATAAGGGTGTGCGTGCTGACTGCTTGGATGCAGTGTGGTCTGCTCCCTGTGCGACTGTATGGTGCGGTCTCTTTGGTGTGGCCTGAATGGAAACCTGTGGCAGTATGGAGGGGATTTGTCCTCCGCACAGCCCGACCCAAGGTAGGTTGCACAGATGGGCAGCAATGTCTTTGGCTGCAAAATTGAGTTAATGGCACCACAAATGCGGCAAGCGGTGAGGCGCAACGTTTGCTTCCAATGCGCGTGGAGCAGCTAGATTACAGGCTACTCTACACTCTGATGACTGATGGTGAGTCACGAGTCTGAGGCGCGCAGTTGTGATGAACACAAAGCCCCCACAACCAAATTCTTGGCAGATTCCACTATAGTGAAGTTTTTCGTGCCATCAATCCTACTTGTGGCTTGCAGGAGAACACCAATGAGCAGCTGTGGAGCGTAAACGTTGCAGGCGCTGTCTTGTCATCTTGGTCTTCCATACGGTCAGTGTGGACAGGCGGTGCATGCACACATGCCCATTTGAATGGCTGTTGTAGTAGGCCGATTGTGTGAATCTGCCCATGTTCTTGTGTGGATCTGCCCATGTGTGATTCTGCCCGTGTTCTTTTGTGGATCTGCCCATGTTCTGTGTGGACGAGCTTTGTTCCTGGGTCAACGGCTGTGTGCCTCATCACCACCGCACCTTCTCATTGTGCAGCTGCGTTGTGCCTGCGGTCTTCAATGCAAAAGCCTGATGTGTAATATAGCGCAAAGAATGGGTGCTTGCGCCCGATCATCGCATGCTACGCCTTATATCATTATATGGACTGCGTGTAGGCAGAGATCAGCACGAGCAGACCTCACTCCCACCGTACGCCCGTTACATCGTAGACGTCACGAATTGAGCTCATACCTTGTATCTACGAATTTATAGCTTGTATCGCGACACACCAGCTTGTACAACACACTGACAGCCCACGTACGGCGCCTGCTGCCGTCTGCAGCGGGCGTGTAGATGGCGCAGGATGCCAACACCCTGCCTCATTCGCGATTGGCAGAGAGGGCGCCATGCTGCGTGGCTGTCCTGTGCGGGGTGCCTGGCGCCGGCAAATCCACCACAGCGGCCGCCATTCGCGACCACGCCTGTGCGATGCATATAGGTGTGCAGAGCAGTGACGACTACTTGCATGGCGGGGCGGGTGCTGCGCCCTCTGCATGCGCCTCACGGCATGACCGCAACCTAAAACGATTGCCCACATGCCGGCCACTATGCGTTCATGGCTCAACCGCCCACAACAGCGGATGTGGTGCTGCTCAGCCTGGACGAGCTGCTGGAGGGGGCCGTGCGTAGGAACAACCCAGCAAGTGCGGAGCATGTCAACACCTTCTGTCCCGCCGCCTGGCAGGTGCGCACCACATGCAGGACCTCTGAGAAGACGCAAGCCCCCTGTGTCTTGATTGCCAACGCAGGGCAACAGATGCACGATTCTGAAACACAACACCGTCACCATGTCCTGCAGGAGGCACGCACGCAGCTGTTGGACCATGTGCGCCAGTGCCTGGTCAGTGTAGCGGCAGGGGGGCAGAGCCGTGGCTGCCAGCAACAAACGGACGGCCCAGGCGAACCGGGGGCACAACTGCCGCTGATGGTCTTGGTCGACGACAACAACACCCTGCCAAGCATGCGGCGCGCATTTGCTCGCCTCGCGCGCGATGGTGAGAGCCCCTGTCATGCGGCGCGGAAGAGTGCAGTGCGCGTTCTTGTACCACTCGCCGTTTGCAACCTCTGCACATCTCGGCATGAGACGGTTGCAAGCCAGCCCCCTCCCCGCCCACATGCTGATGCGCCCTGCCGCGCGCCCCAGGTGGTGCCGCCTACGTCCCAGTGCTCTGCGACTGCCCGCTGGTGAATCACTGGAGCACACCATGCTGCAGCTGCCGGGACAAGCCGTTGCATGAGTGCAGCATTGTTCTCATGAACGATGTCCATACTGTTGCGTTGATGTTTTCCACTGTCCTTTGATGCCTTGTTCAGTTGTGCAGGCACAGCTGCATGCGCTTCTTGGAGGATCACTCCATACTGTTCTCACACCCACATGTTGTTCACAAGTGCTGCCCGCCATCCTACACTTTGCTCAACCTTACAGGTGATCGCAATGCAGCGCAACGCCGCCCGCACCAAGGCGCGGCGCATTCCGGACGAGGTGGTGGTTCGCATGGCGCGGCAGTTGGAGGAGTGGCCCCCTGGGCGCGCGGCCTGGGATACGCCAATGGTGGTGCTTAACACTGGGGGGCGCCCTGTGGATAGGTGAGACCACAGGCCAACACAAAAGCTCGACCGCCCCTGTTTTTCTGCTGGCCCAAGCTCTGGACCGGCACACATAAGACGCCTCCCTTGCGCGACACCGCCGCCATCGATGCTCAGACTGCTGGCCTGGGAGCAAGTGTGGGCTGCGTGGGGGCGGCCTGCGCATCACGCGTCCCAGGACGAGGTGGAGGCTTGCCAACAAACGCGTGAAGAGAGCCGCGCCGCCACCTCCGCCAGCCTCCTGCATGCTCTCGACCTGCACAGCCGGCGCGCCGTGGCGGCTGTGCTGGCCGCAACACCGCGGGTGCGGCTCCAACCACACAGAGTGGACACGTATTGCTCAAGGACTGGGACTGCCTTCAATCGGCAAGCGCATGCTTTTTGCTTGAGTGCACTGGCCACCACAAGGAAAAATGCCAACGCCGTGGTCGCACAACAGTGAAAATGTTGCACCGAGCGACTTGTGGTGATGTGCATGTCTCCCTTTCACCACCCTACCCGTTTCAACACTCACAGGCCTTGTGTGCAGCTACAGCGGAACACTTAAATCGCCACCGCAAGGAGCTGCTGCGACAGGGGCGCCAGCTGTTGGCTAGCCAGGAGCCGCGGGCTCAAGGGGCAGCCGCGCGTGACTATGATGGTGCCGATGTATCTGAGAATGCGGCTGCACTGCTTGATCGCTTGTTGGCTGGTTTTCTGGCCGAATACTCCATCAGCAAACCAGTCCTAGGGGCGTGAGTCGCGACAAGCATACGACAATACACACGTAGCTGCAACTGTTACAAGCGCATTGACACCGGTTGGCTCAGCTGCTTCAAGCGTGTTGCAGCTTACAAGCTGCCAAGCTAATGAAGGACACGTGTGGCTGCAGCCACTGCGCTGCGCTGGCCACCATTGCATATTGCCAAGGAGCAACCAGGGATTCCTTGAGCGTGCACATTGCCCATCACGACGCCACCGTCGTCGTCGTGTCGCAACCGCCCTCACTTGCTGCTGACCAGCTCTGTCTTCTTGCCAGTTTTCTTGACCGTCTCCAACACCACCTCTGGCGACACACTGCCCTTGACCACCACCTGCTGCTTCTCGAGGCTGACGTCGTACGAGTCCACCCCTGTCACAGGGTTGCAGTGATGGTGGTGCATGCACGTGCACACGTGTGTGTGTGTGTGAGAAAGAGAAAGGAGAGGGAGAGAAAGAGAGAGAGAGAGAGTGTGTGTGTGTGCACACGCGCGTGCACGTGCACACCCACGTTTGTGTGTGTGCACGCGCATGCCATGTGCATTTGGGTGTGCAAGATGCCGCGTGAAATGTTTAGGCCCGAAAATAAAGGGAGCAGGTACAGCACACCGCGTGATTGACATGACCTACGTCGCGGCCTGCTGACGCCCAGCTGGACAGCACCTGGCTTCACTGCCTGGCCATGGCGATCTGGCTACGGCCAGAGCATGCCCAACGTACCCCTGCACCAACAAGCTGTACTGCATTCATTGGGGATCCCTGCATGCGCACGCCCCGCTTGCGCACCCTGCAGCTTGGCCAGCACGCGCTCCACAGCACCGCTGCAGCCGCTGCACGCCATGTCCACCTTGAGAACCACCTATATGCATGCGGATATATCAGTACGTGTGAGGCGCAGCCAGCACTTGTCATGCCAGCGGCACGAACCTCACCTCGTTTGCCATGATCCTCGGCACAGGTCGGATGCGACGATGTCAATTGATCAAAGATGCCGTATGCACGCGCACGCGAGTGCTTTTAGGGACCGTCCTGCACACCATCTTTGTGCTCTACATGATGACTCATGTGCATTGCGGGAGTTTGAAAGCATCGCGATGTTTGAGGCTCTGCCGGTCTGGACAATGCACGCGGTCCAAATGAAGAGGACACTGGAATGCTCTTGACGCATTCAAGAGCACCTGCTCAGATCGTTGTTGCCGCAGTACACGCTACCCAGGCTGGTGTTACAGAGAACTGTTGCACGTCCGAAGGGAATGAACACGTGATAACATGAATGCCGCGGGAACCATCCAGCTCAGCCCCAGAGGCGCAAGCGAGGGGCAGCATTTGATGCTGCCCGAGGTGGCGGCGTCGACAGTGGCGATGGCAGCTGCGGAACCGCGGCGCAGCCTGCAAGGAGGCAACAGCCAGGAAGTGCGGCAGCAATTGTCAGCCCCAACACCTGCAGCTTTGGCCCCACCAGCACCTGCCGACCCCGGTATGGCCGCCAGCCTCGAGACGTCCCTGCTGATGGCGCAGCGAGCGTTGGTGGTGCGGCGCGAGGCGCTCTTCACACTGCTGGACGAGGTCACCGCGCTGCGCTCAGAGAACGAGCTGTTAGCTTCTGTCATATGCGATCCCGGCCTAGGCGCCCTGCGGCAAAGAATGCAGCACCTTGAGGTGAGCAGGGTTGAGCAGGGCTGTGCGGCTCTGATGATGCGTATGTGTGTGTGCGT